ATGCAAGACAGTGAGAATATTCTTTTCAAAGCCATAACAATCTGGTAAAAGCTTGGCTGGCATTTAAGTTTTTATGCTCTTGAGACCCAAGTAACACTACTAGAAGCTTTATGACACATTTTGAACTGTGAGTTTTCTATTGGAAAATTATTATTCTTTGCATAGAAAAGTGTGCACGCACAGCTGTGTTTTCTAGGATTGGTTTGTCCACTTCGGAAAATAATCATGATATTTTGCTTTCTAGTTGCTCCAGCCCTTTGTACTGAGGAGACTGATTTTAAGTAATTTTTCAGAGAATTGGCTGGTTTCATTATTTGAGATTGTACAGTAAAACATATGAGATTTGATACAGAAATATTCCTATAAATTAGCAATGTTTTTTGGCCTTTTTTATCTTGTACCTTTTTCCTTGAAACCCACAAATGCTTTGGTTTTGACCATCTTGTTTGTCCAGGAGTCTTCAATTCCCTACAAGGTTACACTGCTAAATTCCTCTGGTATTTAAGGGATGGAGGAAACACTGGTGTGTGTTTGTGCTAGAGATGGATGGGAGGCAAATGTATCCTGACACCAAGTACTGTACTTGGCATATTATTTTTTTCTGCTAACATTTTCTAATATGCAGGATGATGAATATTAATTTTTCTTTTGATTTTTTAATTTTTGTACTTGTAGTCTGTTATCTTTTTAATTACATGAAGATTGGTGTTTCTCTCATGACCAACACCCCCTTTTTAGGCTGAAATGCCTTCAATTTAGGTAGTGCCTGTAAACAGTTTATCTTCTGAACATTTAGAGGGAAACTTGGCAACCAACATTTGATAAGGACAAAAAAAGGAAAACAAGTCAAGCAGCACTTCCCATTGGGAAGTAAACCATTGTTTGATGGGATGAAGCACAGGATTCCCAGAAGTCATCCCACAGATGGAGTAAATCTGCACCTAGGGTTATTTTAGACACTTAATGAAAAAGATACATGCTCTTTTTTTTTTCATTCAGGGTCTGTGACTAGGGAAGGAGCTGGTGTGCTGCCATTGAGGAATGAAGCACACTATAAAGAGAAGTAAGAAGTCCAGAACATCTATGTATGTTCCTACAGCTGTTAGTACCAATATTTATTATTAGGCCAGGGTTTTGGTGTAAAGAGAATCAGAACTAATACATATCTAGTATTTTTTCCTGGTGTTTTTTTTCATGGTGTTCCAGTTTAAGACCAGAACTTTTGGCTTTTGATGAGCAACTGAAAAAACCATCCCCTTTGCACAGGTACAAGCAGCAAGTTCTGATTGTTTGTGGCATTGGTGCTCTTCAGCTTGCAGCAAACACTTGTCCAGATCTATTCCATGCTACTATGCCCATAAATTAGACTTAGTTGATGAAAAATGTGGAAGGTGAGTTTAGGCAGCAGAAGAAACACAGGATTAGCAGAAGGCCTAGGGGCAGCAAGAGCTGAAGTGGTGGTAGGATCAACCTGCTGAAGTGAGGGGGCTGAACTAGGCCATGGAGCAAGACCCACCCTGGGTAGGGTGGGTCTCACTTCTGCCCAGTGGCTGCTTAAACAGGGTCAAGCTTCAGTGTGAGAGCAGGGGAAGGGCTCAGAGGGCACAGGAGCAGGCATGCATGTGTGAGGAAAAACAGCAGAGCTGCAGCCTGGGACATGCAACTGCAGGAGCTGCTGCATTATGGTCAAGCATATCTGGTTCCAGTGAAAATGCTGCCAAAGTATTGCTTTTATAAATTCACCAAGCTCTAAAGGGATACCATTGAGTTGAGAAGGGGAGTGCAGCTTTGCAGCTTTAAAAGTTTCCAGTAGGAATAGGGCTAAAAATAATGGCTGTGCCTGCAAGAATAATGGGGACCAAAACATTGGGAAGAGGTGCTCTCAGCATGCAGAACTTTGTTCTATATCTGAACATCATGTGGGAATGATAACTGACCTCAGCAAACAAAATATTCTTGCATTATTGTTTTGCTATAAATACTACAGGAAAATAGCATTCAAGTAGGAAAAAAATAAAAATCAAGGAAGTAAATTTTAGAATTAAGTGGCAGCTGTTGATGTAGACCTTGAAAATTGTTAGAAAAACTTTCAGCTGAAGGCACAACGACTATAAAGTCCAAAGATATTAAACTGAAGATGTTTTATTCATATTTGTATAAGAATGTACACATAAACCTGCAGGAAATAAGCATTACCAGCATGTGTGACAGGCAGATGGACAGGTCTGTGTGTGGCACAGAGGATGGTCCACAGGAACCAAAAGAATGAAACCCAACCTTACTCTCACCTCTCATGTCCTGATCCACTTCTATATCATGTCCTTCAATAGAGACATTTTAAGCATTAAAGGTAACCCTCATCCTACTGAACTTTGTAGGAATTTTTGCTGGGAATTAGGTTCCAGTGTCTTTGAGGGTTTGGACCTGAGCCCTGCAGATGAACATATAAAAACACTGCAAGTAAATAGTGTAATTAGCTAATGTTTCAATATTCTGAACTCCAACTTAATAACTCTCTCCAAACATTTGATATTGATTTATTTAATGCAGGTAACTATCTATCTGCCAATTCAAGGAACTTTAGTTGGATATTAAGGGTCTAGCCTTCCTCTAAGTTCTTTGCCAACGATGGAGTTTTAAATATGCTAATTTGTGCACCATAAAATCCAAAACGTTGTGCTACTGTTCCCCATCCTACCCTCTCCTTCCTGCTAGCCCTCATTGCTTCTGCCTTCTACACTGCAGAAAGGCCACTGCTCTTTTAATGCTAGTCCTAGTAGAGAACTCTTGGTTTGAGCTTGGTGTTTTCCTGTTCAGCTTCAACTAAATGCATTTCTCAGGGATGGGGAACATGGGAAAGAAAGAGCAAGGTCCAACTCCTTTGTTTTTTCCAGGCAAGAGCCTCAGTGCTTTCTGACTCCAAGGAAAAAGGCTCACAAAATGCTCTTAGAGAAGGTCCATGGCAGAATGTCTTTTCCCAGAAATAGGTGAAAAAAACTGTTGGGAGAGAATGTAATAAAAAAGGGCCGGAGTCTCTCAGAGACAGGTTTGGGCAGCAGATTGGGGAGTGGGAAGGGAGACCTTGTTTTTCAAAATTGTAATTTCAAGCTCCATGGGGACTATAGCACTGAATATCCTCATTGCCCTTGTACTGCTATTCTCAGGACTAGAATTCACTAAAAGCCAAATCACCCATGACTGGGAAGTGATCATGGAGGAGCCTCAGTTAAAACATTATTTCCTACCACTGCCACTGCAAAAGCTGTCTATAAGGAAATCTAGGTTTGGGGACAAAAGCTGTCCCCAAAGAAAAAGAAACCTCTGTTTTAGAGATTTAGAACACATTTCAAGGCACCCTTTGTGCTGAAGGGGAGAGTGCCTGCCCTTCCTCCTAGGACAGCAGCACACAGGAGGCCAAAGAGCAGAGGTTTCACGTTAAGGCATAACCCTTCTCATGGTTACAGTGCTTTAGGTTACATGAGAGAGTGCTGGAGCATAGGAAAAGATGATTAATTCAGGCTGTCAAAATATGTTCTGTGCTCCAGGTAAGGTATTAAAGATTGTCGTCCTAAAGGTGAAATCCTTTCCCCATTCTTTATGTGACTTAAATTAAAAAACTCAACAGACCGACACAAAAACTCAACCACCACCAACCCTACCACCAAAATCACTGCCTTAGCTTTTTTGCTTTAGTAACACAATTCTTATGCATCCAATGACCTCACATCACACAGTCACTCTTCACCAAGCTCTTATTTGCCTTAAGTCTAAGCAACATATTTACTAAATATTTAACGAATTTGTGGAACTGTTCCCAAAACTCAGTTTTGCCAGTGTTAAAAGCTTGTAACACCAGTCATGACAATGTGATTCCACACTCAGTTTTTAAGATTTCTTAAATAAACTAGAACTGAAGCACTTCTCAGCACTTCTGTGCATATCTCTTAGCCAGAAGAAATGTTTAAAAAGCAATTGTACTGCCTTTGGGGCCTTGGAGTCCTGGTGGGCACCAAGCTGAACATGAACATTATTAGAGATACTGACTTCTTCCAAACCTGTCTTAAAATGGCTTATAAGACATTAAAGTCATTTCTCTCCCTCCTCAATTAAATAGCTAGGAGAGAGGTTTCCTCTCAGGTCTCTTAACACCTCTCCCCAGCTGTCACCTTATTTGCCTTTTGAGTGCTGGGCATCTCTCAGGTCACAGTGTAAGAGCTTTGCCCTCTGTCTGCAGGAGAGGTGCTTCTGCACAGTCCCTCAGCAGAGGCCTTCAGCGCGAGGGGGAAGGGCTCACAGCAGCATCAAACCATGTGCTGGCTTTAAAACCTTTCCTTCAAGCTCCCAGAGAAAGCATCCATATATTTACAGGATATATATTTGCTACAGCAGGGTAGCAAAACTTAAAGGAATGATTAGTGGATGTCAGCCACCACCAGCCATTGTCAGGGTCACTGAGGTCACAGACAGGAAAGCATCTGAGCTGTTACAGGAATTAAATAAATGGGGTACAAATTGTTGTTAAAGAAGGGCTGCTGGGTCCTTAACAAATCCAGTGGCTGCAGCAGTGCTTGGCTGGGAAAGCAAGGTTTGCAGCAATGCTCTGAATGAACAGGAATAAGAATGGAGGTCCTTAGATCCATACCTGACCACTACTTTCACCATAGCCAACATCTGCATGGAAAGAAAGAAAAAGAAAAGTCCACAAAATCCTGTACTGAAAAATCCACAAAAATCAGCAATTCAGTTCAATCGCAAAGATTTAAATTAACATAAAACTAGTTCTTGAGGACAGAAATATTCTCCTTTTCTTGTGCAGCCTATTAGCAACCCAGCTCTGCTATTACTAAAAGGGCTAATACAAGAAACTACTCTAAAGCAATAGCACTAGGACTGCTTGTATGCTTCTCATTCCATTACCAATTACTACAGACTACAGGTTACACAAAGATCTTACACAATTCAAATGACTTCGTCTCTATGCACCAGAGGCTTCTAGGAACAACAGATAAAAACATGATTTATTACATCATACAAAACTGGATTTGGAACAAGCAAGTGCAGAATATGGTACATGATTTATTTTTTCTGTACATTACATACTGTTAAATTTCACTGACAAATCCAAAACTTTCACAATTTTTCCTTTACCTGCTTAAGCCAAGCAATTTATTTTGTTCTACTGGACAGAAATAAAGTAGTTTCCTGGAGAATTTATCAACTAATTAACTTGGCAGAAGGTGGTCCAGCTCAGACTGACTTTCAGTGTTTCCCATAGCATGTCAGGTTAGAACCTCAGTTGGTAGCACAGTGCTCTGCCACTGTACCACTCTAGGAACAAGCAACTCCATCCTCATTAAATTTCAATAATGTCTTCTTCTTAGAAGATGAAATTAATGCAGTTGCACTTGTAGACATTCCGAACAGTATAAATGAAGGCTGTAGCTACCATCAGAAAGATTTCCAGCAGCCCCAGATTGGTCTCGTGAGTTCTGCAAGATGTGCTACGATAGGTTAAATGTTTATTAAAGTCCTTAAGAAAAATAAATATTTTTGCATAATGTATGTACAAAACTTGGTTGATTTCCTTCATTCATATAGGTTCAACAGCAGATATAACCACAGTTATATTTTACTCACTAGCTCCTAATAACAAATGCCACCTTTGTAATGCAGTAAGTCTAAGAGAATATTGGCCTATTCTTTATAATAGTGCAAATTATATGGAGGTGTTTTGAAAACCATGGCTTATAGAAAGAAGGATTAACAAAAAAACCCCTCCTTTGGTCCCTGCAAGAGTAGTTTAATTCTTCCATGAAGTTTTCAAAACTCCCCTACATAATTTTAACCAAATATTAAGGCGTCAAAAGCAGATTTAAAGTTGAGATTAAAGTGGTCTTTCTTGGACTTGAAAAAAAAGTCCACTGGAGATTTCCTGACAACGAAATTCTTAATGTTTCTCCTTTCCTCCTTGCTATTCTGCACAAAAACAACATGCCAAACCTCTCTGATAATCTCCCCCATATATTTATTTAAACTACAATAAAACATTACACTTAAATATATTGCACGAAAAGCATAACATATCCTGCCTGACTCTTCACAAAAATGGCCACAAACACAGGAGAACAGCTACTGAACATCTCAGAATTTGAAGAGATCAATAAAATGCTGAGGAGATACTGGCATGAGACAGGTGTTTGGATCACTGGCTGTGCAGGGGTGTCCTGTATCCTGAGAAATGAAGGAGAAAAATAAGTAAGTTCTTTTTCCATATTCAGTCTCCCTTCACCCCCAATTTAGGGAAAAAAAACCCCAAAACAAAACAAAACAATAAAAAAAAACAAACCCAAAAGAATTCTCTCCTTCTACCAGAACATGAGCCAGAGCCCTTGAAAAACTATCATCTTCCTTATTCATTATTTTTTGATAAGCACAACAAAAGGGAAAAAAGGCACCAGCTTTATTGAACCTAAATTATCTATTTAATCAAAATCTGAAGTCATCTACTGCTTTGGGGGAAAATGAGTCCCTTGCTTTGAAAACGATGGGCAGCAGATATTTCCTCAAAAAACCTCAACAGTATGTTTGAATTCCCAGTCTTAAAAGCTTTTCTACCTTGCTATGTTTTCCCCCTAATCTTTCTTTTATCTTTCATGCCTACCTTTCCCCCAGGTGAAATGAAAGCACTGCCTTAAAACAGAAGTTGGCACCTAGGCAAGGTAAGAATAGAGACGTAAGACAGAATGGAAAGGCTTTGTCATTACAAATTCACTAAGGCTGCAGTGCTTTCTTTCCTCTTACAGAAATTTGACCTCAGCAGACCTGTCTGATTACTTAAGATTCAAATTCTTCTTTGAACAAAAAGTTGAGGTTTGAATCTTACTCAAACCCCCTAAATGAGGAAAATGCAGAGGTGTAATGAGAAGAAGTTCCCAGACAGTTCAATGGAGAAGTTAAAAAAACTTGTCAGTGTTGTTGGAAGGCTCAGAAGTGTCCTCACCAGGCTTTAAGGAGTTTCTGTCCCTTTTCCACCAATGCTGGTGAATGCACCACATGAGGCAAGGAAACTAAATAAATACATGACAAAGAGATTACAGACTACTATGGTCCTCATTGCTTTTGTTTCCATAGGGAATGAAATTACATGCAACTCAGTTAATAGAAGGAAACAATCTTTAAGTTATTTTTTTTCTCATTGCCACATTCTCACCCAAAGTCTTTGCAGCACCAAAATGCACCAGGTGAAGTATATTCTAAATACTGCTCAGCTTTTCCAGTGAAAATTGTTACTCAACAGATTTATAATCTGTGTTTTCCCATTAAGTCTATGGAGGACTATAAGAATACACCAGGAGGCATCACCTCCTCATCCTCCCACTCTTTTTAATAACTGCTTTAACATCACCTGAGAATCAGTTTATAGATTCATGACACAGAGGGAAAGATAAACACACACATTAAAAAAAGAGACCCAGGTAGAACTGCCTACTGGGGGAATCTGCAGATGAGAAAGAACAGATGACCAAGACCAAAATCAGCAGTGTTAAATATAACACCTTCATCTTGAGATGACATCTGCAAGGAAGATCTGCACCATTCCAGAAAACACTTAAAGGTAGTTGCTAATGGACTATCACCTTCTCTACCCACTGCCATGTCAATGTCATGTCATTACTTTCCTAGTTTCCAGGAAAAAACACCATCAGAATTTCAATTCTGGGAAATCAGGTAGGGTTTATCCTCTTTCTTATTTGTATTCCTGAATATTTTAAACTGAGTTTGTAACATGCTGCTTTCTCTGCACATCATTATAAAAGCATTTTTGAAACTTCGACCCAGTCGAGAATTACAGATGCAATAAAAATCTCAGAGACCAGTTATTGGTGGTTTTAGTTATTGAAAACAAAATAAATTTTACAGTGAAAAAAGTGATGAGGACCAAAAAGAAGAATCACAGCTTTCTTTTAATTATGTGTATTCCTCATTTCGAGAGAAATACATTTTCATCAGAATAATTAAATAACAAAGTAAAAACACTTAATAAAGTGTTAAATAATTTGATTTCAACATTTCAAAGCTAAAGCAGACTTCTTTCAAAGTAAAAAGAGAATTCCCCAGGAGAAGTGTTTACTGGCAAACGTAGTTGTTTTCCCCAAAATCTAGCATAGCTAGACATTAAGAAGCTCTGTAAAAGTATTTTTACCATTTCTGCATTCAGAAGGCAACAATATAATTGCTTCCCTTGACTATCTCAAGTCACATGCAGCTTGTTTTAGGGAATTTCTTTTCAGAGAAATTCTCCATAAAAGTAAATATGACTACAGCATTCCAAGTGCAATAAAATCAATTTTCGTACCTTTGCATGAAAGTTATCTGAGGTACATGTTACTCTTCAGATTTAAGTACTGAATTAAATACATCAGGGAATGCAGAAAACAGTTTATAGTAACACTGAGTGCAGAGAAACCTATTTCTTAGCAAAATCTGTCTGATCCCACTGGCACCTATGCTCATTAGAACTGAATTATGGCTCCTAGTTTAAATGGCATTAAGAGGGAATATGGCAATAATAAAATACAAAATGATGAAAAGCTGAGATGGGAAGTCATCACTACCTTTATCTAAATGGAAAAAAGAAAACTATTCCTGCTGCTGAACTGATGTGCAGAATGAAAAATCAAAACAAAGAGCATCAGACCATTAGAAAGGAACACATTATTCACTTTGACATTATGGAACAGTCAGCAATGAAAACAGATGAGACAAGAAATACCTGGAGTAACAAAGCAAGGTGGTAGTCCTTTGAAATCGTGAAGAAGGAAGCAGGAAGGAGAGCCATAAAGTAAAAGAAGCAGAGTTAAGGTTTATTTAAGCCAAGGTTGATAAGCCATTTAGAAAAAGTCTTTTATTCTTGTGGCAAATCACAAGCAGCTTTGTGAGAACCAAAATCAGCACAAGTAGCAAGAAGACTAAAACCGAGTGTTATGTGAAGTGATTACACTGTTTTAATAAAGCCCTGGAAACTGAAAGAAGAAAAGATATTTCAGCTTCTGTGGCCATGTCTGAGATAACTGAAAAGTGCTACTAAATAAGCTCAGGAAAATAAAAGAACCTGCCACAATTGCAGTGGTGCCTATTGGAACAGAGGAAATAGTATACATGAAAGCACTCACAGAGACATAGCACAATAATTAGTCATTACTTTTGCATTACTGACATTGTGGTTTTTTTCAGTTTCATCATGGACAAATACTTTAGCAAGAAGTAATTTTGAAAACAGATGTCCAGTATGAACATTTTCCTATGACTCCCTCCTAACACAGAACAGTACAAAGGTCACTGTACTTCCAACAAAGAACTTGGGAGACTCCTATGTGCTGTACATAAATTGATTTTGGTTACAGATTTTAGACAAGGAATACAAATGCCTCTTCCTGAAAAAATCCTAAACACTTGTTAAAACTCACTGTGATTATTATAGTATACTGAAAAAGTGAAAAGTCATTTCCTTACTTCAACAGTTCAATAGATAATTCAATTCAGTGGCCATCAGTTCCTGCTTTTGCAAGACCTTCTTTGAAAAGAACACAAAACAGAGGGCTCCAAGAATTTCCTGTGAGTAGCTTTCTCACATTGTCAGCAATCACATTATATTATCAATTTTATAAATTGCTGAAAACTCTTCTCAACATTATCTAGGCCCGTGCTTTTGGGCTATTTCAGACCCTTGTGGCTTTGGTTCTTAGAAACTCCTAATTCTCAGCACACTTACCCAAAACTACAATTAACTTGCATCAAGGATGTCCCTTAGTGTAAATAATTTCCATTCTCTGTCTCCAAAAAGAATTTATGGAGAGTACCGAGTTCCTTGTGAGCACAACTGAGTAAAGAGAAATTAATCATTCCTAGTCTTCATGCCCTGATTGCTTTAGCACTTTTTTCTCTGCAACTATTCCAATGTTTAATGAAAGAAGAAAAATAAAAATAGATGCCTTACGAAGAAGTGTTCAGCTCTGCCTGAAGTTCTTCTGAATGACCTTGGAAACAAAAGTCACCTGACTTCTGAATTGTACCATTAAACAAAGAAACAAAATTTTTACATATTATCAGCTTTCTCAAGACTACAGTGCTTCCATTTGTTTCAAGATTCAAACACTTGTTACTTTTCCTCTGTAGTAATTTTGATTTCTCTTTTAGAATTTGGATTTGGTGGTAGTGTTTTCGTTGTTTCTTTGCTTTGTTTATTTGAGATTTTTCTTGCTATGCATTACAGATATAATTGTATGTCAAGTACTCACACATTTACTTTAAGAATTATTCTAATCAAGGATAATACCGAAGCTTGAATAAATTTTCAAAGCCTGACAAAAGTTCTGATTAAGGAATATTTTCACCTAGAACAGGATTTATCTAGAATTAATAAAGTAGCTCCTGTCTCTTTGCCCCTCACCCCTGCTTTACTTCTCACCTCTCTTCAGCAAGCTTGGGAAAGGATACAGACACAAGTGTCTGAAAAAAAAGGCAGAACTATTTTTTCCCCTGTAACTGAGTGATAGCACTACTTGACCCACACTGCCCTGTAAAAAGAGGGGCGGTATTTCAGATGTCCCTGCCAATAAGGGTGCCAATTATGCATAAATCAATTAATTTAACAATCCATTTCAGCCTGATCATCATTTATTTTAAGACAGAGACAAGGCTTAGTCACCAAGGCTAGAGAAGGAATACTGCAATGTTGGCTCACAGAATGATCAGGCTGAGAGGCACCTCAGCAGGTCTCTAGCCCAGCCTCTGCTCAAAGCAGGCTAAGCTGTGAGATCAGAACAGTTTGCTCTGAGCTTCATCCAATCAGTTCCTGATCACATCCAAGGATGGAAACTGCATCAGCTCTATGGTCCAACTGTTCCCTTGCTTGGCTGTCCTCGTGGCAGGCTCTTATGTCCCCCTGAAACAATCTTCTCCACCACCCCTCACATGGCAAGTCCTCCAGCCTCCCTGATTAGATCACCCTGAACTTATCAGTATCTCCTGTGTGCTGAGAGCCTCATGGCTGCAGCATCCCAGATGGTCTAATGAGTGCTGCATGAAAAGGGATAATGGCTTTCCTCAGTCTGCTGACTGTGCTCTTGTTGAAACAGCTGATCCCAAACACCTGCTCCAGTATTTTTGTGCAGAAGCACACAACCAATCTGTAACTGCACTGTCACTTGAAGACCTGCCCAAATTTCTAGGATGAGGCAGCACTGGGATGGTGATCTAGGAGGTACTGCTCATCAGTCCAAAGTACCTTTATAAACTTCCTGTGTTGAATTTCAAAGAATTTAGAAGTCCAAAATGAGCCCTATTATCCCAGCAGTAGGTTGGAACAGGTGTCTTGCCACCTTGACTGCTATAACCTCCTACTGGAATACGACTGCAACCTGCACAGGTTCACTGCCTCTTACTGTCCCACCATCTGCAAAGTTAAACATTTAATTCCAAACACATTCAGAGCAATTCCTAATATTAGAGACTTGTACTTTTTAATTATACTAAGATTCATGTAGAAAGCATTCACTCTACACAGTGATGGCAGGCAATGCAGAGAAATCTCATACCACAAATGCCCATCTAAATGCACCTTTGAAACTTCCCCTTTCAGAGAGGCTTTACCCTATATCTTGAGCTACATGCTAAAGACTTATTCCACTGTAATGAGAGTTCTTAGTCATTCTTGACACAGATCCTTCAGAAAATGCCCAGGCTCTTCACAGTAGAAGCCAATTCTGGCTACCTGCTTTCCTACTATTAATTTTGCAAAACCTTACTACCTGGAAGGGCTCCCATGGTAGCAAAATACTCAACTTCAAGATCACATCATTAAGGAACATGCTATTTCTAGGAGGATTTCGCTTTTTCTGCTAAACAGCCTAAGTTTTTTGAAGGAAAATTAAAAAGCCTCACACTGACATACAACTTCTCATAAAAATCACAGAAAGATGACACAAGAGCAACTAATTTATGTTGTTTAGAATATGAGTAATATGAGTATTTTCCCAAATTTCTCAAAGATTTCTTGCTCTTTGTTGTCCACTTGACATTACACATATCTGACCTTCCAGCTGTAAAATTAAAGAAGTGTCACTAACTGGAAGGCTCTGTTACAGTACAACACAGAACAAAAGCAGAATTATGTAATAACACACATTAAAGAAGAGAATGCCCTACTGAAAGTAAAATCATCCTGTAAGACAACATATGTCTTATGGTAAACCTCAAAACCAGGGTAAAACACACTGTGGAAGAAGTTTTAAACATTCCTCCAAGCTTCATATTGGACAGAAGCAAAAATATAAAAATACAGAGCTCTATAGCAATGGGGTAAGAAAAAATGTAGTAATTATTTCTCATTAGACATGTATTGATTACCATGACATCATTAAAAACACTAAATTCAGACTAGTCCCTCACAACTTTCCATAAGATCAAATTAATAAAAGTAGACTAACTCTTTCCACATGACACTTTTCCTTGCAATTCTAAGTATTGAGGTTATCAGATAGCAAGAAATAAGAAGGCAAGATTAAGAACAACTTCAGAATTTAACACAGATTTTATATGGAAGTTTTATATATTATTTTCAAGTCAGATATTATCTAATCACCTTTCACATGAGAAAGCTGATAAAATGACCACAATATTTTTCCTTGCAGATAACCACCAGTAGGTGTTTGAACTTATTTTTGATGATCTGTTCCAAAGCTCTTACCTTCCAAAACAGAATACTACAGTGTCGACAGAAATGCAAGGTGTCCCCGTACTGCTCCTTTATTGGGTAATATTTCTGAAGTGCAAAGTACATCAGCTTCCAGTCAATGTGACCTTTCTCTGATGGAATCAAATGCCTACAAAACTAGACATAAAATTAATATCTTCTTTTAAAATTGTTGTAGTCAATTCAGGCAAAGGACAGGGGAAGGTGGGGGGAAGGTAGTTAAAGTGAAGTTTTGTAACTAGAATAGTTTGAAGTCAATATTATGACATCATACATCGCTGCAAAGCAGTGACAGATATCTGGCCACAAAAAAGATGGAAGGCAAAGACTAAAAATAGGAGAGTGCATATTTGCCAAGAAAAACTAGGCCATACACAGCTGATCTAATTCTACTGTCTCAAAATTATTCTAATTATAGTCAAGAAGCATTTAACAAAACAGCATTTAGAGTTGTAAGTAATTAATTTTATCCTTTTACAAAACCCAAACCACTCAGGAATGAGATTTAAAAACATGATTGTGCACTACAGATAGTGGTTTTCTGTTAAAGTAATATGGATTTAAATAAAGCTCTTTAATTTTAAAAACATATACATGTTTTTTTTTCATATTTGGTTGTGATCTCTCAAGAAGGATAGCAATAATTAGTGATTGATGTACTTCTTGAGGACCTAATCTGCATGTAAAGATTAGCTGCTGCACAACAGCTATTTCTCCCCAGCTTGAGAGACAGACAAGGTTTATTAAGTATGTACTGTAAAAGACTTCTGTTCCACTCAGTGTGGATTAATGCTAATACATTGAGTGCTTTCTTCATTCAGAAGACAATTCCTGAATGGGGAGAGAATAGAACTGCCTTTCTGATTTCAGCTACACTTTATTTTGTTTCATAATGGCTCTCATTTTTTCCCAAAAATTCTCTTCAGATATCAATTATGTTTTCGTGGTTGTTTCAATGGCTCAATAAACACACTGCAGGGGACAGAAAAACCAACCTCATGTGATTCTGTGGCTTATCAAGCCAGTACACTTTCAACCAGATATGGGAACATCATTAGATAATAACTTAGTAAGAAATTGAATGTGAACATTCAGGAACACACTGGAAACACTGTGTACAAGAGTACTTTATGGGGCACAGGGACAGCTAATTTCACTGAAACCCTTCAGGGTCTTTCTCCCTGCATTACCCTAGTACAAGAAGTTCTTCTCTAACCAGTTTTGTCACTGTTCAATAGAGCTTACCTCATCTACCCTCAAAATCCACTCAACTGCTACATAAGCTTAAATTTGTTATCCTTGTAACTTCACCCTGAATTCTTCTGGGCTGCTTCTGAAGATGGGTTTTCAGTTTGCTTCTGTCTGTCCATTTTTTTTCCAGTTAATTCTAAAACCTTTCGTCTCACACACGCACACAAAAAATCTTATTTGGGTCAATGGTGCATGAGTTAATTGAGCTTCAGTTCTGTCTTCCCCATTACAATAATATTTAATCTGGTAGTCACCAAGCAACTTCAACCTGCCAGATTTAAGAAGGGGCACTTTGCCTTCCTCCAGCAGAGAATGTATTAGGTTTCAGAAGTTCTTCCTCAGCTCTGATGAGGTACCTTCCACTTAGGTTTATTTTCACCTAGTCAGACTTTTTCCCAGCATTTATTAATGTCAGAAAATGAAGACAGTTCTGGAGTCATTCCTAGATTAATGTAATGCTCTTTATGAGGGAGTGACAGGAAAGTACTGCTTCTCTTTCTGTTAATAATTTCAAAAGCAAGCTCTACTTCAGAGGAAGACTTTAGAGGTATCCTCTACAATACTGGACAGGCAGTTTTTTAGAAAGCCCATCTTGCAATCACTGCAGTAATCATGAGTATTTTCTGTATTTGGAGCTTGATTCCTCCTAAATACTGCCTTCAGTATGTCTATGAGTTTAAGGTAACTACTGGGCTGTTTCCTTGCATTCACTTTCAAAAATAATGCAAGGAAACAGCCCAGGAGTTATCTTAAACTCTGAACTGAACATTTAGGAGGAATCAAGCTCCAAATACAGAAAATACTCATGATTGCTGCACAATGATACACTTTTGTCTCAAAAAGGACAAGTTCATGCTCCATTATTAGTATACGATATCAAAAAATCTACATTTATACAAAACCCACAGTTTATTACCTGCTTTTCTGCAAAATGGTACTGGCATAGTTTTTTCCACAACTGTCTGTCTTCACTAAGCATGTACAAAGTTGGGGTCACTTGACCCAAAGTAATAATGTCCCAGCCATCAGAGAACCTGTATAAGATGTTATTCAGCATATGCAGAGGGAGATCGCTAAGTGTGAGTCCATTGTTGACTTGCTGGAAATAAGAGTTGAAGACTTTTAGCTACAAAAACATGACAGTATAAAGTACACATAAGATTCTTTACTTTACCTGAGGAATCTCAGGTCTTAGTTTAGTTTTTGCAAATAATTTAATAAAATCTATGGTTAATGCTTGCCTACAATTATTTTCTAACTGCTGTTGGAAATTTAAATTCATGTACAGAAGAAGCAACAAACTGTAAGCTTTATAATTCATAGCTTTCCTACTGTTAAAATAAACATATCCTAAATTCATTATTTAAATTTCAAATAATTTTTGAAACACTTCTGTTCTCTCAAAATAATATTAAGCTGTCTTGAAAACTATAATCTAGTCAATTCCATCTACAGTGTGCTAAAGCCTTAACAATAAGAAAGGCATGAACCAATTATTTCTAACTGGTTGGATACTACAGTTTCTCAATTTTTATTAACAAACAAAACACATACCAACTTGCCTTAAGCCAACTAGAGTACAGAATAGAATATAGGATACAGGACTGAAGACCAGAGATACAAAATGAAAGCATTTTGGAAGTCAGGGGCAGAAGAGAGTGGGATAATTTCTGAAGTCTAGAAAAAGTTCCCCCTCATTTATAAATGAGAAGGTCTACAGAGATGACAGATGAGAGCACAGAGAACATTTTCATTAAGACTCTACACCTCTGTGAACTGCAGAGGGGCAAGCAGCAGCACAGCTCCTACACAGCTAAAGCTGGAGCCACAGTGCCAGGTGGCAAAGGCCCAGCAGGCTGCAGGCCATGTCCCACCTGGCAGGGAGGGAGCACGGGCAGTGCCAGCCCCAGGGAGCAGAGCTGCCCTGCACCCATGGGCTCACATTTCTGTCTGCTTCCTTCCCAGCCATTCACCTCGTGTGTAGACCAGACTTTCCATAGAGTCATCTGGTACAATGCTGCTGGGGCAGCAGCTTTCCTCTGCTGAGGATTGACTATGTGAGCACTACAGATGCAAGATTCCTCATGGGCTACTCCAGCCAGTGTAAAACAGCTCCAAGGGAAGTGTCACGCTGGAAGGGAACAAGCACAGCAGCAAGTGCACTGTCTCAGAAGTGTCTGTGCTGGGGCTGCCTGCTGCACAGAAACTGCTGAGACCAGCTTTCTCAGTTCTCCTTTCCATTCCAGAAGTAGCCAGTTTATTCAGATAACCAGCTCACACAGAAAGGACAATTCAAAAAAAAGGACAAAACTTCACAGCTGGAAGCCGATAGATAAAAACACTTGTATGACTTTACAGTAAGCAATATCTTACAGGATTTTTTTCAGAAGTAACCCAATCAGATTAAAAAAGGTGTCTGCTTATCATCAGAAGTTTCCACTATAAAATCCAGGAACAGTGCATACCACATGCTTTGAACACAGTCACACAAGGAGAAACCAGATGCTGAAGTCATTAATTTATTTTGGAACTAAAAATTGGGGCTTTTCCCTTCAGAAGTTTTCACTATAAAATCCTGGAACAGTGCATACCACATGCTTTGAACACAGTCACATAAGGAGAAACCAGATGCTGAAGTCATTATATTTTCTTTTTGTTTTGTTGTTGTTTTTTTGGTTTTTGGGTTTTTTTTTTAGAAAAGCTACTGTGCTAATGAATAAATCTGTATAATTGCTACTTGAGTTGATACACCTTTTAGATTTTTATTTCTTCAGATGTAGAAAATTTATTTTGGAACTAAAAACTGGGGCTTTTCCCCCCATGTTTATCTGACAAGCTAGAGACATTTTTTTTAAAACTTATTTTAGTGGGAAAAACAGGTCTATCTATACATCTCTACTACAAAGCAGCAGTACAGGCACTGTAGCAGTTTTCACCAGAGAAAAGCTATTAATACATTAGAAAATTAAGTTGACGCCAGTGAGTTAATTTCACATTACTTGTTCATAAAACAAGTAAAACTGTTTAAAATGTATTTGAAACTTGGTTCACTTACAAATCCTCATGCAATATTCAACATAATTCCCCTCCCCCAAATATTAATTAATGATTTAATAACATACCTTGTTCATCTGAAGATTTTTTAATTGTTGTTGCCACAGAAGGATAGTTTCTAATCGGCAAATCCAAATATTGATGTTGCCTACCAACACAGATTTTCCTACTCCCCTAATCAGTATACAGAGAGTAGAACTCAGATCCTGTAGAAGATCTTTGATCAGTCGTGGATTATATTGGTCTTCCATAACTGGAAAACAAAACAAAGCAAATACAATTCTGGTTGACAGAGTTAACCAAGCTAATAGCTCAAGCTAATCAACACTCCTTTTTTAGATGAATTAATTACAACTCAACTGTTTGTGTACAAATAACTGCCCTAATTCCCACCATGACATTCATTGGTGCTGTTCCTTATGTGCAAGATCAATAATGAACAATTTCACAGGCAAATTGGATGCAAAAATTCATGCTATGCATTTAATAGGCTTAATGCTAAACAGGAAGGTATAAATCCAATTTCTTTAGTTCAAAGCAGACAGTACATCTCCATTTAGTGTGGATACCAGAAAAAAAAAATTCAATATAATGTAATGGCTTTTCTTAAAAGAATCAAAATGTATGTTTTTTGAGTCTCAGTACATCATGTAAACTGAAACCCAAAAATGTTATTAACCTAAAAGCTTTCTCATTTTCTGAAGAGTATAATTTAACAGTAACCAATAGTTTTTGAATAGAACCTAAATGTCACAATTTCACCAACCTGTTTCAATAGACTTTATTCAATAACAGAGAAAGTAACTTACTGCAATCATAGGATGGAAAGTATGAAACCTGGCATAATCAAGAATGCTATTACTATGTCTTACAATGTAAAAATGGCAATAAGACAAAAAAAAATCCAGTTGATAGCTTAGTTACAGCAATTAAATCTGAGCAGTTAGATTACATATTTTTAGGTCTTACCCTTCTGCACAATTTTGTCCAAAATGTTAAAGTAGTTCTTCTGTGCTGCACCACTCAGTGAAGTTAACTGGGACTTTGCAATTAACTGCAACAGCTATGACAAAAATTAGAAATTAGAAGAATGACAGAAGTAAAGGATGGTTTTAAATGCACATTTAGTGCATACACTCCCCTACAACAGCCTGTATTGGCATTTTGTGAAAATATAACTACAGATTTCAGAAGACAAAGTAAGACGTGGAAAGCTTTAAGCATTCCCACTGGCATCCCATGAACAATTTCTGAAGGATGCAGGTTTTCAAAATACTGTACAAATGCTTATCTCTAGCAAAGCACATGACATACTTTATGAGCTGTAGTGAAGCAACAGAGAGAGTCTATTTTGGGGGCTCACAAATACAAATGTTAACTTGGATGTGGCTGGGTCCTGAATTCCCTGACAGATTTGGTGGCCAGGAACATCACTCTGAACTGATACCAGTTACCAGAATTGCAGCTTCTGAGTGGAAGTATTATACTATATCAGGTCAAACTGAAGTGTGATGGATTTAGTGCACTCCTTTCTACTCATGGAGATACCCTATTTTGCCTAAACTAGGCAAAACCACTTTCTGTATTAGACCTACATTCATGTCCCTGGTAGAATAAACCACAGCAATCTAATAATGAGCAGTATACAAACCATGTCAGTAACTTTCTCTTAAGTATTACAGTAAGAATCTCCTAGTTGTCCACACACCTGTCTCTGAAACCACTGTGAGCAAAAAAAAGTTACAAGAACAGTGGCAATGGTTCAGGGCAAAACAATCACAACAGCTTAAGTTCTTGCCACACATGAATGCCAAGCTACAGCTACTAGAGGCAGCCCTTGCTCCATTCTGGTACATTTGCTTTTATATTTCAGATTAAGTTTTGTAGCTGATAAGAACCACTAGCTCTTCAACAAATATGCTCTCTTGAGTTTTGTAGCTGATAAGAACCACTAGCTCTTCAATAAAAAATGCTCTCTTATTATGAGAGACTTTGATGTTATGACACCATTGCAATGTTTAGAGGTGTGGCACTGAGCTTTGCAATTTGCACTTTGTAACAATGAGTTCAGAACAACTGTTCTCAACACAATGGAAAGGGAAAGCACGGAGCAGAAAACACCATTCCCTACACAGTGTTCCAGTACAAGGTAGCACCAAGTGTTGGCACAGAGGATGAAAAAGACTAAGCTTGCCAAAAATTGTATTGTGTCTTCATTTCTAAAACACAAATTTGACACTTCATTCAACAATAATCTTCCTTAGGAGGAAGAAAGAATACACCTGTTCTGTCCCTGATTTAATAATGTTACTTCTGGCTCCTCTGCATGATCTCTGACAAAACATTATGTGCTATACAAGAAAGAAATAATTGTCCTGATGTATTTAAATACAAGCAATCTAGTCTCAAAAACTGTATAAATAGATACCAGGATTTCTTTGTTGGCTTTTTCAAAGCCTATTAGCTTGATTAATAATGGAGAACATACCTAGAGGTCTCTGGCAGTCTGCCAGTTTAAGCAAGTAGGTACATTTCTCTTGATTAACTAAAAAAAAATCAGTTATGTTACTCAGTCTAAAGATCAAATTAAAGAAACAAATTCCACCTGATTGACTGTAATGAAGATTCCAATTTCAGTGAGAGTCAATATGCAAGGATTAAGACAATTGTAGCAAAAGCAAAGTAGCAGAGAGTACTAGGATCTCACACACTGATACATGCAGAGCCACGGCTTACGCTGTCTACTAGAGATTGTAACTTTGAATGGATCTCTGTTTATTTGAAAACATTTGGGCAAAACCCACCCATATGGAATTCAGTGTATCATAATTTAACATAATTTAGCTACAAAATTATTAATATACTACAGTGCCAACAAATACAAAAAACTAACTGATCCTACCTTCTGCCCCTCACTGCCCATCCTAAAAGAGTCTTGGACAGACATCAATTAACAGACCATTAACTTTTAATAATGAATGACATATTTTTATATGTTAGTTGGAGAATCATCTTGATGGTCTGGATCAAAGAAGAGCTAGGGTAGGGTTTGGTCTTTAAAAATAGTATTCTTGAGTTATACCTTGCTATCAACAAACAGCCACCACCTCAGGGGAACTGATGCAAAGACATAATCAAACTTTTGTATTTGTAAAATAATTTAAATCTTAAAAATTCCAAATAAATTCTAAAACATTTAAAGGATTTTGAAAGTCTATCCACTATTTTAAGTTCATTCAGATTTCTCAGGGTCTGCAATTAGCAGAATAATGGTTTGGATTGCAAAGCCAAATTTCTGAATTTTAAAGTACTGCTCCTTCCACAATGATCTTAAGCTTGGCTGACTAAACCAACTTATTATATTTCTTGGTGAACAGAAGAAAAACTGGTCAACGTTCTTATGCTGGACTTTGCACTTTGTCTTGATCAACTGTTTTGAGCAACCCAGTTTGGGCACTGCAGTATCTAAAACAAATGCAAAATTCTAGATCTGCATTCCTTTTACCTGCTTGCTATTCAAGTGAGACACCCAAGGTTGACACCATTTATATCAAATCACCTTTTTTAAGTGCTTTGGTTTTTCTTCTTCCTACTGTTCAAGGCTGAAAAGTCTTGGGAAGGGTCAAGGCTCTTGATTCTGCTCCCAAAACAGCATTAAAAAGTAATCTTCTAAACCACAACACATACATATACCAAAAAAAACCCAAACCCTGCAAGGAGAACAAACCAGGCAAGTACCCTAACCACTAGCCTGGAAGCAAATCCTTTTTGGATTTATTTCCACATCTTTTGTTTTTCTGAAAAGACAATACATTGCCTCATCTTCACGGGGATGGACAGAATGTGTTTTCTCTACAAATAGTCCACAGGCCAGTGGTAAGGGTGTTCTCCTGATATGTTTATTTAATTTTTATTTGTGTCTTTTCAAGTTCAGGATGCATTCCAAGAAATACAATATCTGTGAACAGCCTCACCACTGAAGAGTCCACTCCAGTCCTGATATGACTCACAGTTTGAGCTACTCTAGGAGCTGGGACAAGCACTTTGCTACCTCAAGTTAGACAATAAACTTTGGGCTAGAAAGAGATCAGTATCCCCAAAACAGGCATTTCCAAATGGGCAGTTGGTGAGGCATTGAGGTAATTAAGGCTGCAGTCTCAAGTTGTACAGAATGTTAACAAAGATAAATGCATAGATATCTTGTCTTTGATAAAAAAAAACTGCAATGAATCACAGGACTGGTAAGAAGTCATAGAAGATACAGAAATAGCAAAATATTTGTATATCAAGTATTCTTCTGGAAATTGTTATTTAAAACATATTTGAGATGCAGTGAAATATATTTAAGATTAATAACACTTTGCTATTTTTGGTTATATAGAAATAATTTTACCTTTAAAGAGAGTTAATTACCCAGACTGATGAACAACAACTGAAACTACCATCAAAGTTCCCCTTTTAAATGACACAGCACACTGGTCATCACCATCCTCCTCAAGCTATAAGCTTTCAGACAGCCATATAATGAGTTTTCACCAGAGAAAACTTACTCACTTTGAAGTTGCTACTTGCATTATAAATTACCTATGATCAGGATATTTATACAATTATAAATCGTCATCTGTTCAGTGCAAAAATATTCTTTTTGTACACACATGCAGATCAGCGAGTGCATTTTTATAACATACATATAAAATAAAGAACTTACTTTGACCACGTAGTTGAACCTCCTGATGTCCTGAATCGCACTTGAAAAGTCTAAGCGGTTAAAGGCTTCCCCCAAGGTGCAATAGCCATGTCTCTGAGAAAGAGAAAAATACACTTGAAATGGAAGGAAACAAAGACAAAATTGAGCAAAACATTCAGAAAAGCATTCTGACATGCAGCTGATGCTAATGGATACCACGCTTCCTGGAAATGCAGCGCCTCTGGACTGAAGAGTTATTTGTTCTACGAGAAATTAAATTAAACAAGATACACTACTTGTAACTATCAGATATGTAGGCAAGGCCTTTCAATTCATATTAAACGCGTAATCTGGCATCACTGGTATTTGATTTCCCTGGGAATCTACTCCATTCTTGCACGGCCACAATGCTGGCACTCCCTCGTGGCTATCACAGTCCTCATTTGCCATGCACAAGGAAAGTCTTGCTTGTACAGCTGTCTGAGCCTACAATTATAAGAATTATCTGATCCACACTTAAGGTTGAGAACACAGCAAGCTGCTTCTGAGATCAGAAGAAGAAATGGTCTCAACATCTAGAATTTATTTTCCAGGTGCTAGAAGCTTAGGCACTTTTTTTTCACACATTGAGAGCAAAAGCAAGTGCATTTTCCTTTGGTACTTCTCCACACTCTCATGTGAAAATGCAAGTTTCAGAGGCTGTTGAGAACAACTTAAGGCGGTAGAAGCAGCCCAAAATGACATAGGATTATGTAAACTCAGTACATTTAGAGCCACAAAGCCACAATGGAGCCCAGGACCAAATACACTGAGGCTAGGAAAATGTGTCTGGTAAAAGAGTCTCACAGAGCAGTGTGCTATTATGGTTTTATTAGCCCAGGGAAGGAGGAGGATAAATAATTATTTAAAGCTCATTCCTAGACAGACTTCCTTGGTAAATTATGGGATGTTGACAAGTACAAATAATGTTCCTTTTTGTGACCCAGTAAACACTTACCATGCATGTACCCCAGCAGTATGGGACAGTTAAGAATTCACTGCAGGGTGGTTATAATTACTGCCTGTTGGTTAGTGACCAAACTCAGGGTTGCACTGCTTGCTCACTCAGCTGATGCACCTCAGACCCAAGCACACTGCACACTTGACAATATGCACACCTTGCTTGGCTAACAGAAATGAATTAACACATAGCCAATTAAACTTTTGTTGAAATTTAAATATTTGTGGCTGTTCTCTGCCTAAACAGTTATTATCATTAGGTCATGCTTAAAACATTAACATAAGAGACATTTCCCTGAACAGACTGCTATGAAACTACAGCTTTACTTTTCCCAGCATACCATCATGACAAAATTATTCCAAAAACATCTCCAATTTCATTTCAGCCACACACATGCACTTGTTTTGGTTTTCTTCAATTTCAATGCTCTCCCATAGCATGGTTCACATGCTTCTTACCAAGACCTCCCTACCTTTTCATTTTGCCCTAAAAACCAGTATCCAGTTTGGGAAGAAATGTTTCCTGGTTGTGAGATCGCTCTTTCAAAATCAAGAAAGATCAGAACCTGTAAGGAAAACTAGAGCCTCCAAATTATGTTTTAGATTAGCTTAGATTGTTGCTCTGGATTTTTCAGTTATTCCTTGCTACTTTTTCAGCCTACTACTCTAAGCTTTTAAATTTATACAAATAATTACTTGAAAGATAAGTGTTTAATTCTAACCATCCCTGGTTTGTTTTTTATACTAAAAACCCAAATAAATCTGAAGGATGAATGGTCAAATATTAGAAGGTAACCAAAATACTTTGTCCACTCTCTGAATGGACAAGGACCAGAAGCAAATACTCACACATGACTAGTACACCAACTTCTGCACAAGTAGGGGAAAAAATGAACCCTTTATATATGGGTTATGAAGGACACCAGTGCATGATTTTAGGCTATTTGTATTTTGGCCTCAATGTACTTTTGAAACCTCAGCTTAACCTTATTATTCAAAGCACCACAAGGACTGGTGACAGTCTGCTCTCCCCCTGCTCCTCCTCACCCTAATTTAAGACAGCACAATGGGAAAAAGCATGCTCAAGACTTTTGCAGACCAATCTAAGTAACCTCATCTAGAAGATAAAGCAGAAAGAGGGCTGTGAATCTGGTGAAAGGCTTTAAAGTATCCTTCAGAGCTAGATGGGCAACCTCTACGTCACTGGTCTGTAAGGTCTGCAAAGTCTTGCATTATGTCCTTTTATGTAAGCTCTCCTCCACAGCATGCCCTTCCTGAGTAAAAAGCTCTGTGTTGTCTCTCTCAGCTCTAAAAGCTACTTTTGCCTGCATGGCTACATCATCAGCCTCACCTCCATCCCCCTCTCCTGGCTGACATTACCATGTGGATGTAAAACCTCCTTAATGGTGTTCAAGCTCCACACATCCCAGATAGCCATGGCAATCAGCACAGGAATGAAACTCACACTTCAAGACAGTTTAATCTCTACATACAATGAATGTATTTTAACTCTTGACTTGCCAAGAGGTCACTCCAAGAGCTTTCATATTCCCTTTACAGTTACATGATACAGTTTATATCTCAAACTGAAAGCATGTAGACTTGGCTGAAAATAAAGATCCTCTCTGTAAAGTTTGAAACTGATGCTTTACTTACTTCCATTCAAATTTACACTAAGATTCCAAAATACCAGGTGCCTGCCTGCAAGCAACTTTGGAGATATTTCTCAGCAAGTTTTGCACATACTTTCAATTTTAGTTCAAAGAGACAGCAGAAAAACAGAAGAGCTTGGATGAATAGTGAAGAACTGAATATCTATCCTAGCAGGTTCCCACATCTCTGCCACAAAGACCTACCTACAAGTCACTTGGACAGCTGCCTTTGCCTCACCATGTGCAGGTGTCCAGTATTGCCAATGAAGAGAGTTAAGTATAGCCCCTAAGACCACATGGCAAAAATACTTTTTTCAATATACTGTCTGTCAATTAAGAACCACAAAGATTGAGCCACACCATGCAGACTTACTTCCTTGGTGCTTTCTTTATGAACATAAATCCACTTTTCACGATAAAAACCTAAAATAAAATCAAAATATAAGCATTTCAGGCTTCCACATTAGTTAATGCCTTCCAGAAACTCAATTAAACATACAATTTTCAATAAAATGCTTCATAAGATAGCAGAACAGTTTTAATGAAGGAAGTTTATAAATGATGGAAAAGATAACTAAAAAATTGTCACAAGATATGGACTTCATGAAAATAATAGAAAAGTTATAGAAATTTTTTTTGAAAACCACAAGAGCTGGCACACAATTGGTAGATGAATGACAACTTTTGTCAGCTGCGACCAATCACAATTGTCACAAGATATGGACTTCATGAAATGTTTTTTTTTTTTAGACCACAAGAGCTGGCACACAACTGGTAGATGAATGACAACTTTTGTCAGTTGTGACCAATCTGACATAACATAATTATGTCCTACATAATTCCTGACCTTTTTTTTTATACAACAGGCTCCTCAGCATTTGAAAGTACAGCAGATATAGACAACACTTTTGTTCCTGACCACTCCACCCCTCAAATTCATTTTCTTCTCTACAGGTGCCTGTTCTACATTGACTTGGTTCAACTAACTGCAGAGGACAGCAGGGAAGTCAAGGGTACAAGACTAATGAAGGCAATCAGGCTGACCTTCAGCTTTTACAAGTATTGCATGTTGTCAAATGAGACATGCACCCATTTGAATCTTCTGAAATGCCTGAAACTCAGACAAGCCTGGAGAAGCTTGCACCTTTCTGCAACACCATCTCCCTAACAATTTTTGGGGATATACAAATAACAGATAATTTCAAGATCAAAGCATTAGAAATGCCAAGTAGCTGCTAACCAACTTACCTTTTTAACCTACTCTACCAAATTCTTTGCTTTGGTAATTTACTTTCTGTCATACACATTTGCAGTCCAAAGTATAAGCAATCTTTTACAAATGAGAGTGATAAAATGGCTTCCATATCTTAATTTTTTAAAAGGGACTTGTCTCCAAGAAATTATTCTGTCATACACATTTGCAGTCCAAAGTATAAGCAATCTTTTACAAATGAGAGTGATAAAATGGCTTCCATATCTTAATTTTTTTAAAGGGACTTGTCTCCAAGAAATCAGTATTCGGTACTGATAAAATCTTTATCAGGAGATATAATTGTTATGACAAAATATATTTATTTATGAACTGATCCTGGAGTTGGTTGACTAATTAGAACTTGAAATAAACAAAATAAACCATCTGTTTCGGGAAGCAGAAGCTCCCATAAGCATCAAGAAGAATTTAATCTAAAACTAGTCCATAAAACATAACAGTGGTTAGTATCAGAAGACACCTAATACTCAGCAATTACTATTCTTAAATGAATTACCTTTGGGGCTTTGATAAAAAAATCCAACACAATAAGTGATCAATAACACAGTTTCAGTTAAGACATAGCACTTTTGACACCAGAATTTGTTGCCAATACAAAAACAGGCATAATTTGGAAGGCTACTCTATAGGTGAGTATAACATGACTACTATAACATTTCTCTGAACCCACATGAGTCTTCTAAAACAAATGAAAAACCCCAGCCTTACATTGTGAATCTGTGTTATTCCTAAAATGATCTTTTTTCCTTTTCTTGGCTGCAAACTCACAGTCTTCAGTATTGTACACTTCTTCATTCTCATCATCTCCAGTTATGATACTGAAATAAAAACATCTAATTAGAATAGCAGTAATTAAATATTTAAGATGCATACATCTTACAATTTCCTGCATTAAAGTCTACCAGCTGAAAAAAAAGGAAATCATGTTCTTAATTAAGAGCCTCTATCTCATTGTCTGTAGCAACATGTATCTGGAGAGAAGCTGTCTTCTTTTCTTCCCAGAGGGGCTGAATTTTATGCCAAAGTGATTAATACATGCAAGTATCTTCCTAAGAGGTACCTTGAAAATCATTACTGACATTCAGGAAGGACTAAGGAGACAGTACTAGCCAGACAACTGTAAAGCTCTGCAGAGTTCTGGTGTACAAACATCTATTTTTTGAAGTGGACCAAGTCTTAACTGCACACAGGTAAAAAGTCTGTGAAGAATTATCGCACATCCCTGCACAGGCAGAAAGGCAGCAATGGACAACATCTCTCTTCTATTGTCACCTTTGGGGCAAAGAAAGGCTTTTTAAGAAACTCTTGATTCACAACTCTGTACATACTACAGGTGCCATGGCACTGTTTTACCAATGATTTGTACAGCATCAAGAGCCAAGTGGTCTGTCACTGCCAGAGAGACTCAACTCCACCTATGTCACTTCTGACAGTTAACTATGGAACCCAACACTGAGGACTACACCAAACACTTGCATATATGGACCACACAGGGTGAATATAAAACAATACACATATAAGTTACTGAAAATCTTTTTTAATAAGCTAACATTTCTAAAATGTATATGCATTTAAAACGCTCTGTGCTACAGGAAATCTACACAGCTTCATGAAATTTTCATTCCATTTTTGCAGATAACTGTAAGGACTAGCAACGGAGATAAGGATGGGTGTTCTCTTTTCTAGCACTGAGAAGGAAGATACTTCATATGAAGGCCACGGTCTTGTACAGATAATAATGAAGGATACATGGCAATGAAGTGGACTTATTTATTTCTACATTACTGCTCTTTGGCAACAAAGCTGTATATGAAACTCTGTACATTCATTACTATTTTAAATCTAAATTGCTTTTTATCACTGCCAGTTTGAACTTCAGATTAAAACAACTGAACACTGTAAACTGAAGGACAGAAGGTTTTTCAAAAATAACCTGTATCTGGGCATTAAGCGACAAAAATCAAATCATTTTGGTCTATTGCTACTAGCTTACAGAGTTAAAATTTTCAGGTTTGAACCATCTGTTAAACAACACTAAAAAATGTTTGGCTTCTGAATTGTTCTAATCAGTACATGCTAGCTCAGCTTAAAGACACACAAGTTGAGAAGATTTAGAAAAAGAAAGTTGGTTTCATCTTAGCTTTTTTCCAGGATTTGAACCCAACATCTGCATTCAGACAGTGCTCAATACAAGGTGATGGCACTAGTTCAATTCTTAATATTTTTAAAGCAGAGGATAAAGACTCAATACCTTAAATATTCTATACAAGAGTGCCAAATATCACATCTGGTCAAACAGCAAAAGAGTTCAGAGGGAAGAAACCAGCAAGAGACAAAAGCAAAACATCAACACCAGTTGTTTGCTTATGTAACATTTCAATTGAGCAGTTTGTTTTTGTGGGGTTTTTCCCCCCAAAGCTACCACATAGGAAATCTCTAAACTCACTAAAATGAATTTAATTATCATTTAACATATAGGCTGCATCACCACATCATGTGAGAAGCTATAGCAGAATCTGAAGAGTTGCTACAGAACCAGAAATCGAGCCAAAAGCTCCCAGTTTTATCATCTTAACAACAGATACAAGACTAGGCAGATAGGTCCTGATACTCTGCAACACAACCCAAGCAGCACAGAAACTCTCTCATGCCCCTTGACCCAGGGCAAGCAATGGGGAGAGGGTGGGAGGCCACATTCCTGAAGGCCTGCTTAGAAGAGGAAGGTTAATATGTAAAGATTCCTTCTTTTGTTCCTGAATCCATGTGTCCCTAGAAGGTAATTTAGGCCAGTAATATACCTGAAATGATTTGAATCCCACTCCTGACACCCCATAAGATACACTTCCCCAAGCATCACATAAATAACTAAGGCAGCTTCAGGAGTCAATAAATGTAAGGAATTGTGAAGACGAAGACTGTCATTTCAAACATCTTTATCTAGCATTCAAACTTGCCTGTGACATTCCTGGAATTTCTTAAGTCTCTTTAGAGAAAAGACAAATTGGACTGTTACCTCTGAGGATGTTCTGATACGAGGCTTTATTTCCTCATGTTCTGTCCCACTTCACATAGAGAGCCTTTCCCTACTCATCTGTAAACACCACCACTCTTCTTGACAAACCTTTAGTCTGAAAGCAGTGAGTGAAAGCGAGGGTCCCACAGACATCAGAAGAATGGGACAGAGACAGCTACCCAATGACTGCTGGCATTCCTTCCAGAAATCTGCAGAGCTGCTTGACAAGTAATAAAGCTGCTCTACTGTTCCAAAAGCAACCCCTGCCCCCTCAAACACCAAGATAGGATACAAGAAACCAAATCAAGTGCTGCACGTGCCATATGGTGTAACAGAAGCCTCAATTTAGTGTTTTTATTATAATACTGCACGTGACTTTTGAGTGTACCTGGCAGGATTTAAATATGTACATAATACTGCCATTTTACAGCTATTCTTACTCTCTTGTCTTGATGACACACTTCATAAAAATTTGTTCTAAAGCTTTTAAAAGCAAAGTACCTGGTGTCCTTAGAACTATAATATCTTCAATACATCATGCAACAATTTCAGTTTTCCCAAAATGTAATTTCATAGCAGTATTTAAATAACCTCTTGGGTATGATACTCAAAATGATGGAAAATGTGACAGGGCTATCTGAGCTCCAACTATTTTCCCTCATCTCCTTGCTTCTTTTCACATGGCCCTCAACTCATGCAATTATTTACAGAGACAAATTATTTTAGAAGTGACTCTCACAGCTTGACCATGGAAAATCCTGAGCTAATTGCACGCAACAAATGATTTTGTCATTTGACAAATATATTGTAGCGTTATCTGTTCACAGATTCAAATCAAAGGACTTCTATCTGGAGTCAAAACTGCTCTTGTGAACACTGTTCTCACAGAATTAGACAAGAGAAATCACAGACTGAAATTACTGCCTTGCCAGCCCAAGTTGTTCATATGAACCTAACACACAAAAAAGTAAATATCACCATCATTAAAATCTTATTAGTCTAATTCTCTTTTACCTCAAAAAGAACACATAAGACAGCTTTACTCTGAAGTTGCAGGCTAATGAAAGACACTTGCATACAATTCTGTAAGGCAGCTCCACCCCCACCTAGCTTCTGTCCACCACAAGGTTTCAAGGACACAGTGCCACAGCACTGAAAGTGTCTATCTTTGCTTGGATTTACAGGCAGTCATGGCCAGCATTCACACCACAGAGCCTGAGTGCACACAGCCCAAGCCACATCTCCAGACACTACATGCCTTGATCACAAGGCACTCTTAGGCAAATAACTAAGACCTACTGAAGTGATAGTCTCCTTTTTTTTTTTTTCAATCTTAGTTTCCATAAAAGATCTAAAGTACAATTATTCAAGCAAATAATTATTATGCCAAATAATTAAAACTCTTTCTGCACAAGTGATTATATTTGTTCAAGCATGGTTACGATTAGGTCCACCAATTTTACTAATTCAGCAGCTGGATTCACCAAGGCATTGGATGAATAATCAAGCAAGGTTAGAAGTTCTATTTTAACAAGAACACATTCTTCAACTTATGTAACTTACGTGTCTTTAAGGTTTATTTCAGAATCTGTTTGTGATTATATCTTCCTCATTTCTGAAGAGAAAGTATTTGCAATGGGTAAAGGACAACATGTGGCAAACAACTCCATCTACACTTTCTCTCACAGAAGAGAATAGAAGCAAAACTAGAAAGGGTTTCATTCAACTAGATAGCTTGAATTTATTTCTTTATAAAGGAAAACTGCTATAACTGCTCCCTAAAATTCAATACTAAAGTACTAACTTCAGAAGAGATTTTTACAGAATATTTTAGTGAAAAAGATTATTCCTTACAATGGATATAAGTGAACAAAACCCTGCTAGAACAGCCAGATTGACATACACCATCATTCCTATTCACAGGACAGCTTGAAGTGAGAAATAGGTATTTCTGTACTGTTTACTATGTGTTTCTTCTACAAGGAAGCACTTTATTAAGTCTCATTTTTCTTTAGTGCTACATCATGTTAACAAATCTCCTAAGCCGAGTTATCCTCCATATACACTATAATTATTTCCAAACAGCATAAGATGGTACAGAGATCCAGCCAGGAACACATCTGACACTGCTGTACCACAATGTGAAGCCCTGCACATGACAGAGAAGAGCCCCAAGCCTGGCGGTATGCTGGGTACAGACTGGACAGAAAGCAGTTTTGCAGGAAAGGAGCCAGGAGTCTGGAGGATAAGTAGCTGAAGACAGGTCAGCAGTGTGCCCTTGTGTTGTGTTAAACCAACTGCACCCTGGATTGAGCTATGGAAAGTGTGTCCTGCAGACTGAAACAAGCAAACATCCGTCTTTATTTGGCATGAGTACTCATCTGGAGCACTGAGCCTAGTTTGGGGCCCCTCAATACAGTGGAAACATTGTCATACTGGAACAACTCCAGTGGGGAGTCACCAAGCCACTGGAGTACATGGTGCACAAGGGTAGAGAACTGACCTTGCTCAGTTCTAAGAGCTGGTAGTGGAGGGAAATCTAATTGCTGTCAGTTTTTAATATGAGGCTATATATAAGATAGAGTGAGACTGTAAGTTTGGAGAAGGTGGGCAGTGGTAAGTCAAGTGGTAATGGACACAACCTGTGATAAGAGAAATTCTTACTGAAATGAAGAAGGCAGGGAGAAATGGTACAACACAGGACAGCACAACAACAACAACATCATAACACTGACAGTAAGAGAACTTGAATGGGAATCCAGGAAAGGTCTTCCATTCTTGGAAAAGCACAAAGCTGAACTGGGCAAGGCCTTGCAGAACCCAGCCCCAGCTGGCCTTGCTTTAAGTATGTGTTTCAACCAGACGATGCTCAGAGGTCATTTCCACTCAAAATTGTTCCATAATGTTGTGCAAATAGACATTAATTGCAGTTTACTGGCAAAACTTAACTGGCATATAAAAAGTTTAAGTTACAATCATAGATCCAAAGCTAAAAGTGTGGTGAAATTACACCAAAGTAGCGCTACAATGCCAAGACGTACCAACTTGAATTCTCTAGTCCGAGTTTGAACCACATACAGAACAGAAGTAAATTAAGAATCAAAAATTAAAGCCAAAGTTTTTGGCTCCAGAAGAGTTCAATTCTAGGATTTTCCAAGACTAGGGGGAAAAAATAAAATAAAAAAAAAATCAATCAGTATTTTTGCTGAAAGAAGCCATAAAAATACCTCACCTTGCTCTTTGGGGAAAACATACATATATACATTTATACACACATAGACAATTATGAGCAGAAGTCTTAACGGTATTCACAAAGACTGATCATTCCTTTCATACTTATCAAACAGTTTTAATTAAGCAACCTACATGATATTTATTTTTTAAGCAACTTGCACCGTTGCTAAATACTTCTTAGATTTCTCTTCCTTTGCCATGTATATTATTAAAGATATAAAAGAGAATATTTTTTTCAAAGGTATTTAAGGCAACTTTTATGTTGGAGGCTTACTGAACATTCTTCCAGACAAAATTTTGTACCCACAGTGGCCAGACTGTGTGGATAAAGAAGCCCAAATGAGATCAGTGACAGATTAACACAAAAAGAAAAAAGGCATGAAGAAAACAGTAGGTTAAGCTCAATATTAATGCTTCACTGCTTGATAACTCCCTGGAGGATTGTTTTACAAATTTAGAAAACACAGGTGTGTGACTACAGCAAGTCCTATCTTCCCAGTAAATCCCTCTCTAAACCAGCTGAGTTATCTTTTACTGGACTAACAACAAAACACCGAATGCTCTCTTTCCTCATTATGAGCACATTATGCTGGAATTTATGACCAAGATCCTACTCCTGAGAATTACTTCTTTGTGGAGGAGTTTGTTTTGACAAAATGATTTATATCACACCAGTCTGTGGCCATTTGCCACAAGTATTACTTTATTTACCTAATCTCTTTCTCACCTGCCCTACAGGAGGACATACAGTCACCTATTTTGTTAGAGAATGAGAATTAAGCTACCACTGATGGATATTTGGAGCAAAGGCATTTTATGGCTGCCACAAACTAATCCAACACCCACGCTGCAGAAAGCCTTCATTCACTTCCAGGTTCAATATGCCTGTTGCACTTGCAATTTACAAGTGTCACTTTTGCCTTTAAATAGTACTCAACAGGCATTGGGGGCAGGTTTTTTGTTGGGTTTTTTAAAAGTATTTACGGTTTTATTATTTTGAAAGGCATATAGGCTAAGAAGGGATCTGGCTGCCTCAAATAAGCAACTCACAAAGCAGTGACAAAAGAGAGACAGCCTCCACAGGGGTCTCCTGTCTGCCTAACAAAACACATGATTGCATTTGTATACAGATGACATCAGCTCCCACAAACAGTGGCAATCTGAATAGAAATTAAGTCAATTTTGCCTTCCCACCTGCTATTAATTCATGCAGAATCACTTTTTTTTTAAACTTACACAGTGTGGCTGATATCATTCAGCTGATTATTCCCATCCTCAAGTGCATGACTAAAGGTTTCACATCTTTTCCATCCATCTTCTGTTTTAACCCATCTCCATCCAGGGGATCTCCAGTCTTGGCCCAAAAATGGCATGGTTTCTCTATAAGCAGCAAGAAGAGATTCTTTGTCTATTATTTATTTTAAAAGTTTCAAAACTTCCTGTCATTATTTCAGTTCTCTTTAGCCTTAAAAAGAAAATACCTTGAGAAAAGTTCTCTGTGGAGCATCCTTTAAAGAAACAGATTCAGTGGTTTAAGTAGATTTTTTTATTCTCTAATGATGTTCTTCTTGTCTTTTAGCATTTTATCAGATCAAGGTAGATTTCCTTGTTCTTTGGAGAACAAGGAAAAAAATCCCGGTAGCCCGTGAATGGAATGATACCAAAAAAAGGAAAATTATGTCAATTATTATCATGTGTAATCTGCTCTGTTATGATCAAACAGATTACTGATTTTCATACCTGACTAATAAATGGTTTTAAAGAGGTCGACAGCTCACAAAATCAATGCTGCTCCTTTTGTTTTTTCTAATCCTTACAAATACTGAGTTCATGGTACAATGTGTAGTGATGTTTTGGGAAAGGAATTTTAACATTCCCAAAAATCTTTTTATGTTGTTTTTGAGGCCACCTCCCACGCCAGACCATTAAGCAGATACCAGGAAAAGAGGAGACTGCAACAAAGTCCGTTGTGACACGTCTCCAGAAATTCCTACAAAGAGATGCAGGTTATCACAGCTGTATCACTCAAACAGTGTTCTGCTACCATTTTTCAAAAGTGAGATTCACTTCTGACACATTAAGAATTTGAACAAGGCAGTTTTCTACACTTTGAAGACTATAACCTTGCCAGCTTTTGCTGTCTTCTTCCCATTCATCACCCAAACATATTGCTCTTTAGTTTAACAAGAGATTTCACATGCAAGCTATAGAGGGGAGATAGCATTATCATATTGAAAACACATGTTAATATATAACAGCAACAGCTTTGGCCCTCACAAACATGAATTTTCTAATATTTTTTCAACTTGAAAAAAACATTAGGCCCATTCAGTAAACATCCCTACGAATTTATTTAAAATTTTGCCCTCTAATATTTTTTCAACTTGAAAAAACATTAGGCCCATTCAGTAAACATCACTACGAATTTATTTAAAATCTTGACCAGCATTCGCCCAATATATTTGTTAGAAGAGGATAAAAAGCCAGAAGAAATACCGGCCGAGTGAGCCAGCTGGGTTTTTCTTTATTTAAAAACCTGCATAGTTTGAGGTCAAAACAAAGTGCATTGCCCAAACCTCAGGATTGACGAAGGTCCCCTTCCTACTCATAACTCAGCTTTCCTCTGCTCCTAACAAGAACCTTTTCCAAAATCTACATCATCCGTTCCCCCAGCTGCAGCAAACTTCATTCATGCCTATCTGCTTTTCCAATCCTTTTACTGCTTCCTAGTAATAATATGAAGCACAAGAAGTTGTTTAGTACTCCCCTCATACTGGTGTCTCTATCACAGAATGGTTTGGGTTGGAAGAGACATAAAGACCACCCAGTTCCAATCTGGGTGACACCTTCCACTAAACCAGGGTGCTCAGAGCCCCATCCAGTCTGGCCTCGAACACTAAAAAGGATGGGATACCCACCATTCCTCTGGGCAACCTGTGCCAGTGCCTCATCACTCTCAGAGTAAAGAACTTTTCACTAAGACCTAACCTAAACCTACCTGCTTTCAGTTTGATGCCATTCTGCCTTGTTCTGTCACTGTGGGCCCTGGTCAGACATCCTTCTGTAGCCCCCATTTAAAGGGCTGGAAGACTGCTCTAAAGGTCTCCCCAAAGCCTTCTCTTCACCTGGCTAAACATCCCAATTCTCTCAGCCAGTGTTCATAGGTGCTCTAGCCCTCCTCTGGACTCTCTCCAGCACATTCACAGCCTTCCTATGGAGAGGATCCCAGAGCTGGATGCAACACTGCAGGTGGTGTACCAGGAGAGCAGAGCAGAGGGGCAGAATCACCTCCCTTGACCCACTGGCCACGCTCCTTTTGGCGCAGCCCAGAACACCTCCAGCTTTCTGGGCTGCAATGCACATTGCTGACTCATGTTGAGCTCCTCGTCAACCAATAGCCCTGAGTCCTTCTCCTCAAAGCTGCTTTCAGTCCATCCTCCACCCACCCTCTACTTGTGCTTGGGGCTGCCATGACCCAGCTGCAGGACCTGGCACTTGGCCTTGTGGAATTTCAGGAGGTTTGCACACACTCATTCGTGTCCTGTCAAGGTCCCTCTGGATGGCATCCCTTCTCTCCAGCTTGTTGACTGCACCACACAGTTTGGTGCCACCCAAAAACTTGCACAGGATACACTCAATCCCACTGTCCATGTCCCCAACAAAGATGTTAAACAGGCCCAGGCCCAGTCCCAATCCCAACCCCTCAAGAATGTCACTTGTCACCACTTGGACACAGAGCCATTGACTGCAACTCTTTGAGGACGACCATCCAGCCAGTCCCTTATCTACCCATCTGTCAAATTCATGTCTGTCCAGTGTGGAGACAAGGAATTTGTGTGGGACAGAGTCAAATGCTTTCCATAAGTTCAGGCCAATTACATCAGCCACGGTGTGACCCTGTATGACCTCATCCACCAGCCCTGAAACCCCACCGAAGAAGGGCACCCGACCTGCGAGGCAGGATCTGCCCCGGGTGACGCCGTGCTGCTGCCATCCTCACGCAGCCAAAGGAGCTCCCAACGCCCCAGGCAGGCTCCACACGCCCGCTCCAGACCCCTCAGTGCTGCCCGTCCCGCCCCAGCCCCTCTGCCCACCCTGACCCCTCACGCCGCGCCCCCCGCCCTGAAGAGCCAACCCCGAACCCCTCAAGCCACGACTGCCCACGCTCAGCCCCAACCCCGCAGGCCGACGGGGCTCACACACACGGCCCCACAGATGTCCTCCGGACCGCGCTGCCGGCCCGGGCCGCGCTCCCCGCTCACCTCCCGCCGCCGCTCGCTCCGTGCCCGCCGCTCCCGCCCGGCGCTCGGCCCGGGCCCGCCGCTGTTGCTAAAAAAAGTCAAGGCATTAATAATAAAATAAAAGTAGTATTTTCAAACACTGTAATTGGTTTGAAATTTTGTGCTGTAGAAAAAGTATTTTTAAAATTATTTTCATGCTTAGGATTGACGATACCACAATTCTGCAACTTGTCCCTACCTGGAAGCAATCCTTAATCTTTTTGTTAGTATTTTCCATAAGAAAGTGGCGTTTATGAGCTTATAAAATAATTTTGGTGTCATAACAGCACAGAATTCAGAAAAGACTCACATTGGAAGGGCTTATTTTCTGTCTTTTTTCTGTCTTAAAAAACTTACCTGAATAGTTATATTTGGCCTGGGAGTTATGTTCTCAGTATGTTACTTTTAATAATTAAGCTAGACATAGGATTCCTTTCTTTTCTTGAAGACAGGAAAAAAAAAAAGAAGTTGGATACCCAAATATTTTTCAAGACCCCAGTATCCTGGCACAAATACAGCCATGGCAAAGGCGCTGCCTCTGCACAGCCAGAGCCTGCAGGCCACTCTCTCTGCCATTGCCTGACTGGAAACATTCCCAGCCCTGCGCTGGAAAATTATGTGAGTCAATATTGAAAACTCTGCACCACTGCTCTGCCAGGAGCGTGTCAGTCTCCTTTTCCAGCCCATGAAAAGGTGGTTTTTCTTTGGCATCTGGATCTACAAAATTCCTTAACAATGTGCCACAAATCCTTTTGTCTCTAGGATCCTTCTACATGTTCTGTCTCTGAGGTGTCCTGGGGTGTGTGGACACACAGTGAGGGCTCAGTGAACTCACTGCTCTGCTGGGGCTGTTCCTTTGGGCAGGCTGGATTTCACTAGCAGAGCTTCATGAGTGAAACATCTATCCCAAAGTGCTGCCCTTCAGAAAATATGCTGCGGTTCTCTTGTGTTTTCAATTCAGAATATATTCTGAATTCAGAATATATTCTGAAATTATAGCAGATAATTTCAGAAAAATTATCTGCTATAATTTTCAGAAAAATTACCTGAGGAGCAAGCAGCTTTAAAACCCTGAAAAAGTAAGCAGAGGTTACTTCTTGGAAAAGTGCAGCATTTTGGGAAAGCCTCCCACTGGAGCTCTCTGTGGAGGACTCTGTCCAGTGAGAGGAATTCCGTGCTGGAGCAGGGGAGCAGCATGAGCAGGAAGGAGCGGCACAGACAAAGCCTTATGAACAGACCCCAACTGCAGTTTCCCATCTCCCTGTGACACTTGTGGAGGAGAGAAGGTGGCAGAAAAGTCAAGAACAAAGAGTGGAGTTGAGTCTGGGGAAAAAAAGGAAGTTTGCAAAAAGGTGCTTTTATTTTTGTTTCTGTTTCTCACAGTGCTGTTTTTAAAATACCCAATTTTTAATTAACAGCAAATTAAATTAATCATCCCCAAGTTGATTCTGGTTTACCTGTGATGGTAATTGGTGGATTATGGTTATTGGTGGATGGTAATTGGCTCTCTGTCATTATCTGGACCCATGAGCTTTTTCTTTTTTTTTTTTTTTTCTCTGTCCTGCTGACGAGGGGGAGTGAGAGAGCAAAGTGCTGGGCACCACACTTCCTAATATCATAGAATGGTTTGGGTTGGAAAGGATCTTTAAAGGTCCTCTACCTCCAATCCCCCTGCCATGGGCAGGGACACCTTCCCCTAGACGGAGCTTAAAGCTCCCTGCAGCCTGGCCTTGAACACTTCAGGGTGCAGGATCCTCAGCTTCCCTGGGCCTGGCAGTGCCTCCCAGGAATGTAATCTAAAACTCCCAGGTGTCGAATCCCACTGCTCCTGTGGCAGTGCCTCCCAGGTATCTAATCTGCAGCTCCTCTCTCAGTTTGAAGCTCTTCCCGCTTTTCCTATCACTACACACCCTTGTAAAAAGCCTCTCTGTGGGGTTTTTTTGTAGGCCTTCTTCATTTCCTGGGAGCTGTAGAAGATCTCCCTGGAGCCTGCTTTCCCCTGAGCAGCCCCAGCTCCCTCAGCCAGTCTTTGTGGCAGAGGTGCTCCAGCCCCCTGAGCATCTTCGTGGCCCTTCCCTGTCCCCAGCGCTGGCTGCACACCCCAGGAGGGGCAGAGTCCCTCCTCAGCCTGCAGCTCACACTGCTGCTGGTTACACAGATGTTCACACTGCTGCTGGTTACACAGCTGCTCACACCTGCTGGTCTCAGGCCCAGCTGGGGATGTTACCCTGGGAGAATACCTCACACTTCGGGAGGATTCCATAGGGAAGGAAGAAACAGAGGAAGTCATATGCTTCTAGCTTTATAGAATGGTTTGGGTTGGAAAGGATCTTTAAAGGTCCTCTACCTCCAATCCCCCTGCCATGGGCAGGGACACCTTCCCCTAGACGGAGCTTAAAGCTCCCTGCAGCCTGGCCTTGAACACTTCAGGGTGCAGGATCCTCAGCTTCCCTGGGCCTGGCAGTGCCTCCCAGGAATGTAATCTGAAGCTCCTCTCTCAGTTTGAAGCTCTTCCCGCTTTTCCTATCACTACACACCCTTGTAAAAAGCCTCTCTGTGGGGTTTTTTTGTAGGCCTTCTTCATTTCCTGGGAGCTGTAGAAGATCTCCCTGGAGCCTGCTTTCCCCTGAGCAGCCCCAGCTCCCTCAGCCAGTCTTTGTGGCAGAGGTGCTCCAGCCCCCTGAGCA